AAAATAAAACGATTTGCAACGCTTCGGCCGGCGAATTATTGAACGTGAGGAGGCGTCGAAGGAACTCGAAAACTGCTTTTGAAAAAAAAAATAAATAATTTCCAAGCGAAAATTTAGTTTTCGTACGAGTGGAACTAGTCGCCTCGATAACGCGACGAGAGAGATTTCTATCTTTATTTCTATCTAGCCGGACAACTCGAGATAACAACAACGTTCGCGATCTATAATCGTATGAGAAATTTCTAACAATCCGCGAGAGAGTGGGAAAATTTGCACACTACTCGCGAATGGAATTTTTCCGCTTTTTTTTTCAGTTCCAATCTTTGCAATTATAATTGTAGCTTTTTTTTTCTTTTTTTTGTCAGTTGTATCAGTCGGATCTGATCGACGACTGAATAAATTATCGTTACGCAACGTGACGTAGGGCTAATAAAAAGTTTAAGGCCACACATACTGTTGAATACCTAGAGGTAAGCCCGAACTGAATAGATCGGCCGTCTATTTTTGTTAGAGAGTACGCGAATCTTTAGCGAGAAGAGCCGCGTACAACGTGTATTAAATCACATGGCAAACGCCTCTAGTAGAAACTAGAATAACCATAAGAAAATCTTCGCTGCCGAAACTCCGGTTTTGCTGGATTACGTAATTAAATCACGTCACGTGTATTTTGTTCTATCTGGTTTGAATTTGAACCGCTCGACAGGTTAAATTCACGGACACCGGGTACATCGGAACGAACAATAGCAGTGATAAGACTGAAGCAATAAGTAATAAATTCTCATTAGTTTAGTTATAAGCGAATGTTTCCTAGAGTTGAAAATTCCTTTACTTTAAAGGAGAGAAATGAATCGTAAAGTCATAGTGGTGAACAGTCTCTGATCTCGTTTTATTAAAATAAAAAGAAAGTTTTCTAATTATCTAGAATAACCATAAGAAAATCTTCGCTGCCGAAACTCCGGATTTGCTGGATTACGTAATTAAATAAGTAATAAATAGAATAAATAGAATAATAAATAATAAATAGAACTGAAGCAATAAGTAATAAATTCTCATTGTTTAGTTTATTAAATCACGTCACGTGTATTTTATTCTATCTGATTATTCGTTTGAATTAACCGCTTGACAGATTAAATTCACGGACACCGGGTACATCGGAACGAAATTAACAGATCAATAGCAGTGATAAGACTGAAGTAATAAGTAATAAATTCTCATTATTTAGTTATAAGCGAACATTTCCTAGAGTTGAAAATTCCTTTAAAGGAGAAAAATGAATTGTAAAGTCACATACAAATTGTCGAACGACTTTAAACGTGGTGAACAGTCTTCAAACAGTCTCTGATCTCGTTTTATTAAAATAAAAAGTTTTCTAATTATCAGTCTAGTGTTGTCAATTCTCCGAGTCAATCACTGCTTACAATTTCACACTAAATTTTTTTAGAGTACATTTTTTTACTTTATCTTAGTCCTATTATTACTACTTTGGTGTGTGTATGTATGTGTGTATATGTGTGTGTGTGTGTGTATATTTTACCAAAATTATCCCACGAAGGAAAGATTACAGCTACGTTACGTACATACAAATTCTAATACGTTCTTCGTTGATTACACGAGATTATTAAATACTATTACACCGTTTGCACTAAATCGTCTATTGCTTTGAGACAAGCGACCAGCCAAAGAGACACTTGTTGATCGAGCCCACTATGGTTGAAATACGTACGAGCAATATAAAACGATCACGCAGAGATTGCGCTACGCGTGCGAAGTTAGCATCTTGCGCCAGCTAATAAAAGTAAAAATCGTCGAGACACCGCGTGTCATTTGCGAAGTAACGCGACTCTTCCGTAGCTGGACGTGTCGTCAACAGACGAGCCGATTTCGATCTAGGTGCAATTGAATATCAATCATCAAGTAGTGTAAGTGATGTAAAGTGGTTATCAAGGCTCAAATATGTGCGCCGGTTACACGAGCCGAGAGAGGATTTCTAGAAACACGACACAGTGTCAACTGATCTATCGATCGTTTAAGTATAAGCCGATTTCGAAAGTCAACCAGTGTATATATATTTGCATCGCGTGGTTCCGCCGATACGCGAATATCGACAATAGATAAAGCCAGCGACATGCACCGCATAATTCCTCGATAATGCTCGTCCAAGATAGTGTTAGCTTTAGCAAATTTTTCAAGGCCTCGAGGCAAGAAATAGGTTTCGTTTCGCCAACGAGAAAGGAAGTAGAAAATTTGATTCTGCGATTAGCGCATTCGACGATTGTCTTTCTTCTTCTTCTTCTTTTTTTTTTTTTTTTTTCATCGTTATCATCTGCTTTATGGATTCGTGGAACAAGCCTTATAGTACATATTACGTAACCGAGATTCTGATATCCACTCTTATCAGATATTTGTAATTATTAGATTAGAAATTATATATCTGCCATTTACATTTCCTTCACTTTACTTCAGTAAGTTACTCTTGACTGCCGCAGGAAATTCTATTGTAGAAGAAAATCTGTTCATCCAGTATCGTGAAAGATAGTTGAGCAAAGTGATCCGAGGATCATTTGTTTCGATCGTATCGATCATTTGTCATCAACAGAACTCGAACTCCAAGGGGAGTAATTTGTTCGCTGAAAAGTGGATTTACATTGAATGCTTCGGTCGTGCAGAAATATCGGCGAGGCTACGACATTCGCAATTTGCGAACGAACGCACGCACGAGAAACGATAAATCCTCGACGTTCTTACGACGATGATCTTTTATGGTTTTCCCAGCCACAGACACGAAGACAAAACCGAACGATGCTCGACGAGTGGAGTGGACATCTTTACCCGAACTCCGCGAAACGTATAGACTCGTAATTGAACTTATTGGCCCCGCCCATAATTCGATGTCAGAAAAGTTGCAACACGTGTAATAACTTGGAATAAGGTGAGCTTGAACGAGTTTACCGCGCGGCTCTTTCTCTAAAGATAGAAGCGCATGAAATGACGATGTGCTAATATAAATGTGACACCTGTAAAGCTGATCTCGCATGAAGTTACTTCGAAAGCAACGGTATAAACCTGACGCTGCGATTTAAAAGGAAAAATCGCCATGTGCATGTCTCGTCGTCGTTAATTTGACTGACAGTTTATTTACATTAAGAAAGGAAAGGAAAGAAAAAAAGGGATGAAATTGTACGAGAAAAGAGGAAAGACGAGAGAGAAATATCGCCTGAAAAAGATTGGACAAATTGTACAGTTGACGATAAGACCCTATAGAATTTTATAATTATCAAATTCAATATCAAATTCAAACCAATATTTGATTAGGAGGTTTTTTAAGTTAAATAAACTTTTTATATTAATAAACTTTTTTGATTGAAGAAGAAATAATGATCTTCAACTTGAAATTATTAGATTAAATTACCTTAGGGTTATAACAGCGTAGTATTTTTTTATAGGCCACATAGAAAAAAATTGCGACCTCGATGTTGAATTGAAGATAAATTTTTAAATGCAGCAGTTTAATAATTAAGTCTGTTCGACTTTTAAAATCTTACATGATTTGAGTTGAAATCGACGTAAGTTCAGATTGGTTTCTATCTATAAACAATTTTAAATTATTTGTACGAGAGGATTATAATTTATAAATTATTTATATAAATCTAATAAATAAACTTAATAAATGTATATTATATGTATACCATATAAAATATACAAATATTCAAGCTATTTTAGCAGATTGGTGCAATAAATTTAGAATTTAAATTAAATTATACATGATATAATGAATAATAATTATTATTATATTAAGCTTTGCTTTAATAATTTTAATGATTATACTAAGTGTAGCTTTCTTGACACTCTTCGAACGCAAAATTCTAAGATATATATACAATATCAAAAAGGTGCAAATAAAATATCCTTTAAAAGTCTATTACAACCTTTTAGAGATATATTAAAGCTTTTGTCAAAGGAGATATTTTACCTTAATTCAGATAAAATGTTTTTTTATTATAGCCCTTTTTGAATCAACTATCCATGAATTTACAATAACTTAAACATTAGTTACAGTATGATTTTTATACTATTTATTATGAGATTAAATGTTTATCCGATTTTGATTATTAGTTGAGTGTTATCTAATAATTATTCAATACTAAGAATAATACGTACAATTTCACAGACAATTTCATTTGAAGTGCTATTATATTTAATTGTGTTCGTTTTTATAATAATAATTGAAAATTTCAGTTTAATAAAAATTATTAACTATCAAGTAAATATTAAGTTTTTTTATTTTAATATATTCTCTTTGCTTTATATTCATTTTAAGAATACTAATTGATCTAAATCGTGTCCTTTTTGATTTAATTGGGAAGGAGAGTCTGAATTAGTCAATCAGGATTCCATTTAGAATACTAGATAGAAGTTTATTTACTATGATTTTCTTATCAGAATATATAAATCTATTGTTTGTTAGGGTAGTATTATCATAGTAATTATATTTTATGGAATAAAAACATGGAGTATTATATTTATAATTTTAAATATATATTCAATCCAACTAATTTTCTTATAATTCGTGGAGTATTGGCTCGAATTCGTCACGATTACTTGATATATATGTGCTGGATAGAACTTTTTTATTATTTTATTATTGTCAATTTATTACTTAATCTGTATTTATATAATTGAAGAATTAACCATGGTATTAAATTTATAAAAATTAATAGAAAATTTCATTTCGAAACACTCAGTGCAATCAGTTAATTTGAAAGAAGGCAAACTTCCTCGAAAACAGTGAAATCATTATCGCGAGGAGTGATATTTTCCAAAGCTCTGGCGAAATCGTGAAAAAGAAATTCCGATCGCGATTTTTCGAGAAACAGTAATGAATGGCTGTTGCTGTTGCATGATTTAATTGGGAATTCGTGAAAACAACTCGATCAACCGATAACCTATTTCGTCGTGTTAACATATGTATACATGTATGTATGTATGTATGTATGTGTGTGTGTATGTATCTGGAGGGTCCTTTTGTGATAATAAACCAAAGAGGAAGATCCATAGTGTAATTGGCACTTCGCATTTCTGCCCTGGCAATTACCATGCATGAACGCACCACCAATGCATCGCATAACTTTCCCGAATGATATCATTCACACTTCGCGGAACGGACAACATCAAACGCATTGAACTAGGTTAGGGATACTAGGGAAGTTTGCCTCTCGTGTTTCGCGCTCGAGCACGGATGATGTTAGAAACTTGTGTTAGAAAATCTTGGAACTTGCATCTTTAGAGCGTAAATGGTATTTCCTCCTCTAACGAGTATACAGGGTGTCTCAGAACGAGTTTGATTCTGACGCGTAAGTGAAATTGAAACGAGTCGAAAAATAAAGAATAAAGTTTCCCCGTTAAAGAGAAAATCGGGCTTGGAAATTTTATATTTGGAATTTAGAACAATTAATTAGAAGGCTATTCCACGTGCAAAAGTGAACAACATTTTTTCGTTCGAGAAGGTTGAACCTCCGTTTTCGAGAAAATCGAGTTTGAAAATTTATCGAGTGTGCTTGAACTTTAGTCAATTTTAGACGCGAGGGGAAAGAATAATCAACAGGGGATTGTTCTACGTGCGAAAATAAGTAAAGAAAGTAGAACAAAATTTTTTTACAAGATACTTCGTTTTCGAGAAAATCGAGTTTGAAAATTTAACGTAGTAAACGTGTACCACAGGACAATTCAAAATCAAAGTCTATTTTTTTTTTTTAAATTGACGGCTTAAACGAAAAAATTTTATCGTGTCGATTGTTCAAGTATAATTCTGATAAATTCTCCGATTCGATTTTCTCGAAAACGAACGCTTCGATGGAAAGATTTTGTCCTTTCTTTTCGAGTCATTTTTTCACGTATCATCTGTTGCTCAATTGCACAACTTGTTGAGTATATTATACGTTATATTTAGCTACACTTGTACGATCTTCTAGTTTTGGAAAATATAAGGAAAATTTTTACGTTAACCGAGCGCGGAACAGAAAATATCGATTCCAATGAAATCCCATTTATTTCCGGCCTATATATATATATATATATATGGTCTTTACGATCCACCACTGTCTCTTATCGATGTGAATTACAGTAAGTCATATATTTCTCGAGATAAATTGCCGTACAACTATTAATAAATACCAGAGACTGTTAACCTCTTCAGCTGCAGACATCCGCTGTACACACACGCGTATTCGCCTTCACACGATAATTAACTTTATCTAAAACCGCCGATAAATAAAGTGTTCCACGTTTTTTGCTATCTAACAGCAGTACCAAATACTCTTCTCCAATTATCGTGCTGTGCGTGGTATCGAAAAACCTTGTTTCAGAAAGAGCAGACACTCGGGAAAGACACTCGATTGTGTCATAAGATTCTGGAGAATTCACAGGATTCACAGAATAATTCAAAATCCAAATTGATATCTCAAGAATACCATTTCTATGAGAGCATTGTCTACGCCATCGACTATTAACCTTCATCGAGTAATAAATTTGAATTTTCCAACCGATCGTTTTACCACTGTATCTTACAGCATTCACGGATTCACGGAATAATTCAAAATCCAGATTGATACCTCGGAAATACCATTTCTATGAGAGCACGTCATTGACC